ACCGACAAAATTACTCACATCGCTCGACCAAATCACTCACATCGTCGGCTATGAGGGCGTCGCACTACAGCAAACTATACCATTGCTCGACTATCACATCTCCAGCGGATGGCGCTACTCAATGGTGATGGCAGTTTGAGGGAGAGGGTAGAGCAAGCGACAGCGAAAGAGAGAGATGAAGAAAAGAGAAGGAGAGAGCCTTTGCTCGATCTTACATCAAATGTGGCTTTGTAGCGGGGTAGGAGGTGTCTCCGGCGGTGGGCATTTCTCAACGATGACGGTAGAGAGAGAGGGTAGAGCGGCTGTCAGCGAGGAGTGTGAATTGTGAAGAGAGAGCGAGAGATGGATGGGAGAGGATTAGGGTTTGGAAAATGAAATTTGTATAATTAATATTTAATATTTAAATATAATACATCTGATTTTTGAAATATCAAACTTTCATCTGATTTTAGAATGCTGAATATTTAAATTAGGGTTTTGTGTAATTTTCACTTGAAATAATGCATTTATTTGAAGAACGTGTATCAAACAGAACATGTTAAGATAAACATGCCTCAATATTTTGTACAAGTAGATTGGTCGATTCATTTTCCTTAAGCCCAATACCCGGCCCATATCTATTATGCAATTTGGCCTTCAAATCCTTGATGAAGAGATTGAAATTTCAATGAGATGATTTGTCTGTTGCCAATGCATTCTCTAATCTCCTTCTTACTCCTTAATTGCATTTCTTAATTCTTCTGAACTTTTTCCACTCATTAAACACTTAGGGGCTGTTATATTTATGTTTCAGTTTTAAGTTTTAAATTCATTTTGGATTTTATGTTTTAAATGTTCATTTTGATATTGTTGAAAATGTGTTCTTTTTGGCATTTTGAAAACACTCAAAACGACAAATTTGTCATTTTGAATTTTCTTTGAAATTTTTTAACTTGTTTTCAAAAACGCGCTTTCAAAAATAAGAAAGAGAACGCGTTTTCACTAATTTGAAAAATTGAAAACAGAAAACGGCTTGAAAATGTTAAAGAGAATATACCCTTAATCTTCTTCGCCACTTCTTCCCTCGTAATTGGTGGCTTATCGGAAAGATTAACCCCAATTTTCCAATCATTAATCACTAATTTCCGTAAATATAGTGATCAGTGAATAATGGAAAGCAAATTAAAGGCACGCTACGTCGTATACTTTCCAGTACAAAATTCTATCCTCAGTGTGATAAAAATCTCTCAATCACTGGATGTGAAATCACCTTAATTTGGCTACACCATTGTACAATTAACCTTTTGCCTTTCGTGCAATCTTCGAATCCAGTGGGGAACAATTTCGTTTTCATTTGAGCTCACGATGTCAGGTCAAATCACCCATACGAAATTTACCCCACTCAATTAAAGAATAATGCTAGGTGTACATAACCATTCAAAAAATGATTCACATAATACTGACGTGGCAATCATTCACTTGTTGATGTGTAAGTGTGAAATTTGAATTAAAGGTTAGATCACATGCCACATGTAATTATGTGAACTATTATGTGAATGGTTATGTACCTGTAGCATTATTCCTCAATTAAATATCCAGAATATGATTTCTACTAGTAGCACGTGTGTGGCCGAATGAAACATATGAAACAGACTCATTGGGATTGGTGTTTAGCTACTAGGTGCAATCAGACTCGGACCAGAGGCTTGTGGACACGGTTCGCTTGGTGAAGCCTGCAGAGACAATGAGCCCAATTGCATAAGTGGGCTGTTTGGCATTTAGGGCCGAAAGTGTTTCGGAGTCTCGTTCTTGGACCTTGTTACAGATAATTATGTCGGCCTTTTTCACATCCTGGAAAGCTCGATAGATAACCCGATGCACTACTGTCTATATGTTTGTGGCTTGAAGGTATGACATAAGGTCGCTTGGTTCGATGGCCTTCACTCCTGGTATGTAATCTATGGCATCCTTGCGATTATCTAACAAAGGTCGCACATTAAAAATTAAGACATAAATGAAAGTATTAAGATGTCCCTATTAAAAGTGTCACATAAAAATTGTCCATCTGAAATTAACAAAATATTTACCTATATAGGCACTTTAATTGAAAGCGTTTGGACCGTCCAATAGGTAAAATTACCAATCAAAAGTTACAATGCAATTGGCACCACTTGAAACCCCACCCCACCCCCAACTTGGTATTTTCTCACATTCAATTCCAAAGTTACCAAATAATTCATATCCTAAACGATATCGGTGGATGTATGTATTTATAGTTGTTTCCATAGGTAGTTGACTTAAATTAAAAAATCAAATATTTTTCCCCGATTTGGCCTAGTGGACCCCCAATAGAAAATGGGGAGGCCGCCCAGGCAAAATATTTCCTTTCTGTATTGAAATTCAAGGTCAGGCAAGCGCCTGGGTGGGCGTCCAGTACACAGCTGGACAGCTTTTAGATTTTTGGTCATATATTCTTCTCTCGATATCCGAATGAATTGATTCAAAATGCATTTGAACGCTAACTCAAAGGGATACAACTTTTCTTTAAATATCATCTTTCAATTCGATCGTTTATCATGTCAAAAGTGGGTCTCAAACTGAAACTGAAAATTCGATGCATAACTTTTCGATTGGAAATTGATGTGTGATCCTACTTTGACGATATTTCACCCCTTTGACTTCTTTCTTCATTCAATTGACTTCTAACACTCTCAAATCTTCATCATTTGGTTTGACACAACTTTTNAATTAATTATTAAACAAAAATATTAAGGCCCCGTTCGGGAGGGATTAAAATCCAATTAAAATTGAAAATATGGCCGTTATTGGGTCCCACTCGTCTAATAAAAGTCAACAATAACGGCTATATTTTCAATTTTAATCAGATTTTAATCCCTCCCATACAAGGCTTAAATAATGAATGCAAAACCATGCATTTTGCGTTCATATCAAATTTCCCTATACTTAGCTTTTGCTTGTTCTCGGATAAAACTCAAATTTAATTCCCAAAAAATACCCAAGTCGTAATGTCATGAACATAGAATCATCAAACCTTTCAAAACACATAAGATATCATGAATAAATGTTCCCACACAACTCATAATTAATTAACAAGCATTTTCATAAGAAGATGGATTAAACTAAACATATAGACCCTCATGGATATAAGCACTCAACTCTCATGTATTTAAAAAGTAAGTGTTTCGCTCAAATTCATTCTAGCGGAGATGACCTACCTATGCTTGCATATCTTCTCATTCGC